GGGTTTGAACCGCCAGCCGTCTGGTTAGCAGGCAAGTGTCTTAGCCACTATGCTACCAGAGCTCCCTACATAATTATAATATATATACCCACTACCACCACCAGTGTCATTGCGTCAACTCCGACTCACAGAGACCCTGTATGTGTATAACTGTGATCCATAGGGTTTTCAGAGGCTGCTTTTTCAGAAGTACATTGCAGGTCTTTCTTTTAAGGCATCTCTGGGTAAGCTTGAATTTCCAATCTTATGGTTAGCAGCTGAGCACATTAATTTTTTGCTTATACATATGTGCGTGTGTTTGTGTATACCTGTCCTCTTTCCCTCTTCCCCAAAAGGCCTTAGAAGTCTTGTCTTGGATTAGCATGTGTACATGTGGACAGGGGCAGGGTAGCCAGAAGTGGTGAGGGATGTTGCTCTACCTCTAGCCAGGAAAGGATAGGGGCAGTGACATCAGGGTTTTTAATATCTATGTATATAATTCATAATCCACTAAGTAGGATTAAGGCTAGGATCTGGCTTCTTGTTTTGAAAAGTGTAATCAATTATCTTAAAGCATTTGTTGAATAGTTGATGCTTTCCCCGTTGATTTGAAATTACTTCCCACTGTTATCTCAAAATTTCAGAATCTAAATGGTCAGAGATAAGCACAGGCAAATTTCCTTACTTAACAAATGGAGATAACTGTATGGTCCCAATCAACATACCTCATGATATTGATGTCAAACTGGTAACAAGACAATAGGTACAAAAAGTTTTGGAAATTTATACTCTTGCTTTTATATTGAATGAACAACAAAAGCCACAAGAACAACAATTACTCTTATTTCTCAAGGCTGTGAAAACATCTGTTCATCTGAACAGTCATTTGGATCCACTAGGAAAATTCCCAAACTCACAGGTCACATGCCAGACATACATGTCAACAATCCACATGTGAGGAGATTTGAGGTTGGGTTTCAGTAGATGAGCTTGTTTAGGGAAGGAAGTGGGACAGCAGGCCTCTATGGATGAGTGGAGCGTCAGCCTGGGCACTCATGGCACTTGTCAGACTGTGAACTCCTTGAGGACAAAGGGTCTGTGTCTAATTTTTCTTGGAACTACAATGTCAGGTACATAAAACCAGTCAGTGCCTATTGAGTTGATCTCGACACTTGGGTGACACTACGTATTTCAAAAATGAATTGTCCTCCACAGGTTTTTCAAAGGCTGTGACTGTTCAGAAACAAATTGCCAGGTCTGTCTTCTGAGACATTTCTGGATGGACTTGAACTTCCAACCTTACCGTTGGCAGCTGAGCCCTTAATTGTTTGTGTCTCTCAGGGATGCCTGCCAGATATATAACTGGTGTCTAAATAAAGCTTATTGAGTTTAAATAAATTTTCCCAATGGAGATCCACTATAAAGGAAGGTTGTGGGAGGGAAATACCTCTCTTCCTCTATCCCCGATCCAAAATTACTTCCTAATTTCTATATTTAGCTGCAAATGGCAGAAAACCAGACTAAGTATGGCTTAAAAAGGAAAGTGATTTTTTTTGGTCTCACTCCACAACAAATCCAGAAGCA